CCCCCCCAGACACAACAGACCCCCGGGGAGGAGCCGGTGTCTGAGCCCCCGCCGCAGGCAGATGGGGGATACTCTGCACCCCACTTGCAATGCGGGAACCTCGCGCCCTCCCGGGAACCCCGCACCCCCCCGGGCCGGGCCCTGGCATATCCCTGCCCCTGTAGTGGGGGCTCCAGGCAGGGCCAGATTGACCCCTTACCCGCCCCTAGGCACAGCCTCTTCAGCCTCTCCCCCCCGCCCATGCCTACACCCCACCTTCAGGTTTTCCATAAAAATATGAAACTTTTAACCCCCTTTTGACTTTTAGGTGCCCCGAGAACGCCGGCAGCGCCCCTAGGCACGTGCCTCCTGTTCCTAACTGGAAATCCGGCCCTGGCTCCGGGAGCTAGAGTGTGGGAGTGGGATCTGGGTACACACTGGGAACTGATACTGGGGGTGGGGATGGTCAGATGTCTGGGAGCCTCCGGGGCAGCTCCGGGCACAGAGGGGACATTCCCCAGATGTCACTGGCTCCTGAACTAGCATTGAGGAGCCAGGCGCTGGAGAGGCCAGGAGGCCATGGTCTGGCCTCGCAGGGAGCTCTGGTTTTTAGCGGCCTTTGGGACTTGCGCCCCAACCCGAAGAATAACCCACACAGGGTGACTCGTGTGTCCCCATCTAGTGGCCAGACTAGTTATGGACGTTTATGAGCTTCCTACAGCCTCTCAGCTGAGGGCTCTGATCCCATCACTCAGGCAGCCGTGCCTTCAGCTTTTAGATCCAGAGCTCCTGGGTTCAATCCATGCAGATGTCCTGGCCAGAGGCATCATTAGAAGAGCCCGCAGCATTTGGATTCCAAATCCCGAAGCTGGGAATGGGCGACAGGGGATGGATCACTTGATGATTCTGGTTCTGTTCATTCCCTCTGAAGCACCCGGCATTGGCCACTGTCGGAGGACAGGATACTGGGCTACATAGGTGCCGACTCCATGGGTGTTCCAGGGCTGGAGCACTCTTGGGGAAAAATTAGTGGGTGCTCTGCACCCACTGGCAGCCAAGCTCCCCCCCGCCCCACCTCCTCTCTCCCCCCACAGTGCTTCCCATCGCCAAACAGCTGTTTGGAGGTGCTTAGGACTTTCCAGGAGGGAGGGGGGAGGAGCAGGGACGAGGCAAGCTGAGGGGAGGAGGCGGAGGAGATGCAGGGTGGGGACTTGGGGAAAGGGTGTGGGGACTTTGGGGAAGGGCTGGAATAGGGGCAGGGCGAGGGCGGTGCAGGGGTGGGGCCAGGGGCAGGGGTGGGGTTGAGCACCCACCGGGCACAGTGGAAGTCGGTGCCTATGCTGGGCTAGATGGACCTTTGGTCTGACCCAGTATGGCCGTTCTTATGTTCTTAATTGGGGACAGGCATAGATCTCTAGGGTACAGGCTGGGCCTGGGGGTTAATGATTCCTGCTGAGCAGGGGAGGGGAAAGTAACTCACTCTAATGCAGATAATTCCAGAACTCAGTTCCCTTTCAGCCTGGCTGAGAGAACCCTGTCTCTAAAACAGATTGCCAAATAATGTCAGCCCGTAAACCTGGTCCCCTGCCATATCAGCCCGTCCCTTGGCACCCCACACGTGAAGGTTATAAGACATCTTAATGAGCAAGGGCACTGGCTTCTACCCCGTATAGAAGAAAATGGAGGAGACCCAATGCGGTCAGACTCTCAGCTGGCGTAAAGTGGCATCACTCCAGTGATTTCAATGAGACTCTAGAGCCCATTATGTCTAGGCTCTGAACCTTCTCCCCCACCCCATGTAATTCAGGGACAGGGTCTCTCTCAACATGGTTTTCTTGGCATCCGATAAGATTCAAGCTCCCACCAAAGCATCTCCACACACATCACTACACTCAACTTTGATGACATTTCTCTGTTGGTCTGTAACGTGATCACTGTTGAATACCATGGCCGATCAATTCCGCAATTTCAGGCCATTTTCTAGGCATCAATGGGCAGAACCCCATGGATCTGGCCCCAAAAAAATAAAATAAACCAGAATGGGGAAATGTGGGGTGCACACAGCCCTTGGTCTTTGGTTAGCGGAGCTACAGCTTCCACCATCTCTCTAATTGTCCATAGCTCAAAGAAGAGGTTGATGACAGCCTTTCACACCTTCCTGTGTCCCAGTACCCCCAGCTCAGTTTAAAAGGTTGACATCCTGCATGACTTAGCTGCCAGACAGAAGGAAAATAAAAACAGGGGGAAGGGGCAAAGGGGTGTGTGAGGGGACATACAGTGCCCCTGGCATGAGGGGGAGAATGAGGGACCCTGGTAGAGGGGAATAGGAGCACAGAGACCTGGGAATGGGGGAATAGAGAAGCCCTGGTAGAAGGAAAATGAGGGACCCTGATATGGGGGAAGTGGGGATACATAGAAGGGGAGAATAGGGGATGGGGAGGCAGATAGAGCCCCAGGAATGGGAGGTGAACAGGGGATAATTGTATGGGGGATGGAGTCAGCCGGGGCACACAGAGCCCCAGGCATAGGGCAGGGTGTGGTGAGGAGGGGAGTCCCAGAAACAGAAAGGGATGAGAGGGTGGCCCACCGGAGCTAGTAGGGGAAGTAGAGGAATGCAAGGAGCCCCGGGCTTGTGCAACGGGCTCCGCCTGCAGAAGCAACAAAGCGTGAGACTCTCTAGTTTAAAGGTGATTTTAAGGCCAGAAGGGACCGTTGGCATCCTCTAGTTTGATCTCCGTAACGCAGGCCAGAGACTCACCCAGAGATCTCTGCATGAAGCCCACAGCTCGTGGCAGAGCTACAGCATGTCTTCGAGGTCAACCGTCCAGTCGCCATCTAAAGACCCCAAGGGATGGAGAATCCACCATGTCCCTTGGGAAGACTGCCCCAGTGGCTGCTTCCCCGCACAGTCAAAAATGTGCACCTTCGTTCCGGTCTGCTGCAGCTCCCAGCTGTGGATCTCGTTCAGACTTTGTCGATGACAGAGCCATCTGCCACCAGGAATCTCCTTCCCTGAATCAAGTTACCTCTGAGCCTTCCCTTGGAGAAACCAAAGAGATCGAGCTTCTTCCGTCTTTCACTACAAGGAAGGTTTTTCCAGACCTGGCATCATTCTTGTGGCCTGCACTTCAGGCCACTATGCTCCGTTACAGTCCAGGCTGAGACTTAACGTGGGGGGCAGATTACCCCACATGTGCTACTGTAGGGTTCTCACACCTTTCTCTGCAGCAGCTGGGACACTGTCAGAGTTGGAATATGGCACTGGATGGTGCTAGGATCTGAGCCAGTCTGGCAAGGCCTATGAACCCACTCCAATGTGCCACCAGAAGCTGGGAGTGGACAACAGGGGATGGATCACTCAATGATTGCTTGTGCTGTTCATTCCTCAAAGCACCTGGCATTGGCCACTGTCGGAAGACAGGATACTGGGCTAGATGGACTTTTGGTCTGACCCAGTATGGCCGTCATTATGTACCATCCGGTTTGAACTGTGGGCACCAGAACTGGATATAGTCTCTGGGGATGGTCTCCTGGTTCCTATTCAACATTCCCAGGATCCTGGCCAGCCTTCACAGCCACCGCAGCACACTGGGAACTCACTTGATGGCAGAGGCTGAGTTACCATTTCAGTTTCTTTCCCACACAGCCTGTGGGTCAATGGCAGGGGCTTTCTTGGATGGGGATTCCCTGGTGCTGAATCACGACTGAACCCCTCTCCCCCAGGTGGGTCCATGGCAGGGCCCCTCTGAGCTGATTTCCTGGGGTCTAACTGTAGTCAATCTTCCACCCAAACTTCCCACCCTTCTCCCGCCCCATGTCATTGGCTGGCAGGGGCCCCCTCACTGTGGATCCTCTGGTGCCGGATCAGGTTGGAGCTGCGGCTAAAGCCCTTCCCGCAGCCGGCACAGCGGAAGGGCCGCTCTCCCGTGTGGCCGCGCTGGTGGTAGGTGTAGTGGGAGCTCTGGCTGAAGCCCTTCCCACACTGGGGGCACTGGTAGGGCTTCTGGCCGGCGTGGACCCGGCAGTGCTGGGTGTAGCGGCTGCTCTGGGTGAAGCCCTTCCCGCAGTCAGGGCATTTGAAGGGCTTGGCGTCCAAGTGGGTGCGCTGGTGGTGGATCAGGTTGGAGTGGCGGCCGAACCTTTTCCCGCACCGGGGGCACTTGTAGGGCCGCTCCCCCGAGTGCACCCGCTGGTGCTTGATGAGGTTGGAGCTCTCCCCGAAGCGCCCCCCGCACTCGGCACAGGCGTAGGGCCGCTCCCCGGTGTGGGTGCGCTGGTGCTGGGCCAGGTGGGAGGCCTGGCTGAAGCCCTGCCCACAGTCAGGGCACCGGTAGGGGTGCTCGCTGGTATGGGTGTGCTGGTGCTGGATCAGGGCGGAGCTCTTCCCAAAGCGCTTGCCGCACTGGGCGCAGCAGTAGGGCCGCTCCCCGGTGTGGGTGCGCCGGTGCCGTACCAGGTTGGAGCTGCGGCAGAAGCCGCGCCCGCACTCCCCGCACCGGTAGGGCCGCTCCCCGGTGTGGATGCGTTGGTGGACCACGAGCGCAGAGCTCACCCCAAAGCCCTTCCCGCACTCTAGGCACGTGTAGGGCCGCTCCCCGGTGTGGCTGCGGCGGTGCTGGCGCAGGGAGGCACTCACGGCGAAGGCCTTCCCGCACTGGGGGCACCGGAAGGGGCGCTCCCCAGCGTGGATCCGGCTGTGCTCCGTGAGGTTCCCGCACTGCGTGAAGCCCTTCCCACACACGGTGCAGCGAAACGGCTTTTCACCCGTGTGGGAGCGCTGGTGACGGAGCAGGTTGGAGCTGCGGCTGAAGCGTTTGTGGCACTGGGTGCACTGGTAGTGTTTCTCCCCCAGGCCGGCTTCGTTCTCCTCTAGGTGCTCTCCCTGCTGCTGTCCTGCCCCTCCCGGGCTCTCGCTGGCTCCTCCCCGCTGTATGGCTGACGTCCTGTGCAGCTCTGTTCCCGCAGACCTTTCCTGCTGGAGGTTCTCCTCCTCGTTCTCACTCGCTGTCCTGGCACCTTCTGGGGGAGAGCGAGAGAAAGAGATGTAGCTGATGGGCAGGAAGCGAATCCCTCCAAGGCTGGGGGAGGCGAGGGCTCCTGCCAGGGGTCAGGTGGGAGCCGGGAGTGATGCCTGCCATGAGGCCAGGGCACCTGCAGGGGACAAGACAAGACAGACTGGGGAGCTCCCAGTGGCTTTGCTGGGATCCCAGCTTTTCCCTGCTCTCCCAGACAATCTCTGAGCTGGTGTCACTCATTCCTCACCTCTCAGGCCCTCCCTTTCCTTGGAGTCCTGGAGAATCAGGATGCTCGGCTCCTCCCCTCGCTCCAGCCGGGAGATCATGGCAGGTTTGGCTGAGGGTGTGAAAGCAGAGAGGAGCTGGAGTGTCGTATTGCAACAACTGGCCCCTGAATTCAGCTGATCGAGAATTTTCCGTGGAGGTTTGCTCAAGGCTGTGGGGAGAGATTGGCAGACGTTCGTAGATTCTAGTCTGATCTCCTGCGTAACGCAGCCAGGGAAACCAGCATAGATCTGGGTGAATAATTGAGGTTTTCTTGGTTCAGTGGGTGACCTGAGCCTGACTGCAGTGTTTAGTGCCGCTATTCTACCAACAATAGCAAGTGGCTGTTTCACCCAGCGAGACCCTGTAACGCACTCCTTACAGGGGGACACAATTAAATACTGTGCAAATGCTCTCCTGACTGTTGGGCTCAGCCCCGCCCGTGCTGCCTGGGTGGGTTCCCTCTGGCCCCAGCCACAGTTCAGCTACGCTCCCCTAGTCCTGGCAGCCTTTTCCTCCAGACAGCGATTTCCTGCCTCTGCCTGTTTCTCTCCCTCCCCTGGAGCCACCTCTCCCTGTAATTCCCCTTTAGCCCAGAGACTCACCGCTTGGAAGCGTTATTCCCAAAGGTGTTCCCAGGAGAGCTCATCAATTGGATTCAACCCCTCAATGCACAAGGTACTGAGAGACTCCAGCCTGATACTTCCAGAGGAAACAGCTGAGAGCAGGAAGTTCCTGTCTTTATTAAGTTCCCCTTACAGCACTGCCTGGTCCTCTCTAGACCTAGGGAAGGCTTAGGTGCTCTATGGTTATTTCTTTCAATTCCCCAGATACACTGAAAGGAGCACTGCCATTCAACATATTAAATGCAAAGTGCCTGCATCCCTGCCTGGACAAGTCTAAGAAATGAACCATGCAAAGGAGCTAAATAAAAATCCACATAGCGAATGTTTGCCCAGCCAGGGCATTCCACCCTATTTCACACAGGTGTCTCGTTGCAGGTTAGGCTCTTAAATGTAGGTCTGAATGTCAGAGTCATCAGAGTTCATCAAATGGTTCCTAATTGATTTGAGCCGGCACCCGGCCGATCAACGTGTAGGACAAACTCCTCAGCTGCTGAATACGCAGAGCGTGGGAATTTCAAAAGCTCTCGGTGCTGGACTTGTTCTTCCCCCATTGAAATCAAAGGTAAACCTCCCCTTGACTTCAAAGGCTATTTCGACACTACACACCTTACAGCGGCACAGCTGTGCTGCTGTAAGGTCTTCTGTGTAGCCGCTCTATGCCAGCGGTACCTGTCAGAATTTGCTACCTCTTGCCTTTCAGTCTCTGGCCTGGGGTAGCAAATTCTCGCAGAGCATCAACCATCCGCCACAATTAGCTACCTCTGGCCTACAGGATGACAAAGATGAGAGGTAGTAAACTGTGATGGGAATTCGCTACCGTTTTGAAATCTCCACTGTAAATGTGGACACAAAGACAGGTATTTTTCAAAATGTAAAAACTTTATTATTGTAACAAGGTATATAAACAAAAATAGCTTACTTTTCCTTTCAATATTTTTTCAAAAACAAGCACCTAAACATATTTACTATACAGAGGTAACACGTTTTTTGTTCTTAACTGAAGTGTAGATTAAAATTAAACTTCTCTATTTCTCCTTTATATTCCAGCTGTGTTATTCCAAGAAAACCAAAATATTTCTCTTTACAAAACAATTGCACAATGTACATCTTTTATAAACAACTGAACTATGCACATTTTGTGCAGCCTGTACTTTTTCTTCTCATTTAGTCAGAAATCTCATTGATTTCCTCTGGAAGGCAGGGCACACTGGACCTTTGATAAGTAAGAGATGAGAAAATGAAATCAGAGTTAATATCCCTAAATATCATTTCAGTTAACAAAATAATATTCCTTGAACGTATAATCATTAGTCAAGACATGACTATCAGCAGCCTTGCCAGAGGATGTTGTGAAGGCCAAGACTATAACATTTATCACTCGGCTCTCAGGAGGCTCGCGAGAGATAGAATCAGACTTGAAGGTCAGAAGGGACCATTATGATCATCTAGTCTGAGCTCCTGCACAACGCAGGCCACAGAATCTCACCCATGCACTCCTGTATCAAACCTGTGCCTGAGCCACTGAAGTCCTCAAATCATGGTTTAAAGACTTCAAGATGCAGAGAATCTTCCAGCAAATGACCCATGCCCCACGCTGCGGAGGAAGGTGAAAACCCCCCAGGGCTTCTGCCAATCTGCCCTGGAGGAAAATTCCTTCCCGACCCCAAATAGGGCGATCAGCTAAACCCTGAGCATGTGGCCAAGACTCACCAGCCAGACACCCAGGAAAGAATTCTCTGTAATAATTCAGATCCCACCCCATCTAACGTCCCATCACAAGCCACTGGACATATTTACCGCTAGTAGTCAAAGACGAATTAATTGCCAAAATTAGGCTATCCCATCATACCATCCCCTCCATAAACTTATATTGCCACCCATTTTCCCAATCTCTTCGGAGGGCACTGTTTTTTCAATCTCATCCAGAGCAGTTTCCATTTCCGTGTTTTCCTCTGATCTGTTTTTAGCCCCTAATGTTGGTGGCTCTTTAAATGGTTTTAAGTGGGAGACACAGTAAATAGATCCTAACAGTTTCCCTGAGATGGTTCCCAATTTAACTCTTTACCCACAACAGCGGTAACTTTGTATGGGCCATGATAGCTAGGTTGCAGCAATCCTCCTTTTCTTGTTTTCCTTCTTGTATTCAGTAACATAACAGTCCCCAACCTCAAATGTTATTTCCCCATATTTAGAACGCTTTCCTTTGGCATACCGTTTGGTTTTGTTTTTTTCTGCTGCTTTAGCAATATTACTAAGAGCCAGTGCAACGTCAGCATCCTTTCTCATTTTCAAATGTATGCAGTACTCTTTGTAGAATTGTTCATCGTGTTCCTCGAAATTTGGTAGCTTTGAAACAAACGGAGACGGGGTTGTATTTGTGAAATGAAGATTCAAAGAATAAGATATTGACGTGAAAGCTGACGGTACTGAAATACACGTACCGTATAATTCTCTGAGACTTGGTCTGGAAATCTTGCTTCAAAGCCATACAGCAGTCGAAAGGGTGACGTTTTGGTGGTCATGTTCACTTGAGATCGCAAAGAAAATAAAATGTCACCAAGAAATTCATCCCAGTTACTCCCAGTGTCATCAACCAACTTCTGCAATGCTCTGTAACAAATGGTGATGGATTAGTTTGTGGGGGAAAAAAGTAAACGACCGAGACAGATTATATGGAATCAAAAAGGCACCAGGAGGAGGTCATCCCAGGGCACTGCTATGCTTATTCTTCATTTCACATGTGATATGGTATAAAGACGTGCAAAGTAATAAATTGACTTGCAAGATTTAGAAGCTTCTGGCATGGTGCATTCTACTTGCCTTTAGTACTGTAATTTTCCCACCCCTAAAATTACCTTTTGATGGATTTGGTAGTGCTGTGAGCAAATCCGTTGGTTAGTGGGTGGCCTGGGCTGGTGAAGATACGTTCTATTCCTCACTTTTTGCATATTTCCAGATTATACTGAAAGAAAATAAGTTACACCATAAGCTTTCCTTTGGACAAGTCTGTATTTATGTTCCTTCCCCTATTTGCCATTGATTGTGTGTGTGATTACTGTGGTTTACTTTTCGTTTACTACCTGGAATAATATGTTGGGGGTTATTTTGGTGGGTAAGAAAACACACACACACACACACACACACACACGTTATAGCAACCCTGATGGGGTGACCAACTACAGTGTTTGCAAAAATAGGGTGAGTGTTCAGAAAAAACTTGTCAGCAACAATTTACATTTAAAAAAACACTCACGGGGGCAACGAAGCCCATGTTCACTATCGACTATCCGTGAGCTGATAGTGTGATTGAAGAAATAGTAAAAGTAACCTCAAAAATCTTTACCTCATGATTGAATTCAGGACCGCGATCTGTCAGTATCCGCTGTACATATCCATGCTGCATAATTATCTTGTGTATTTTCTTTACTACCTCATAGGCTGACTTAGTTCGAAGTGGAAATGCTTCCACGCATCTTGTAATATAATCCGTGGCTGTCAGTATGTACTGGTATCCCTTCTTTGTCGCTGGTAGTGGCCCTGTTAAATGCATTCCCACCAGTTCCCAGGGCTGACTGACCTATATGCAGGGGTACAGGTTAGTCAGACTTTGGATCTTTCTTATTAAATGGTCTCAATAAGCCCATACGTAGTAAGCAGAGGAAACACTATAATGTGGTTTCCACAACCACACCATCAGAATCTAATTTCCATTTTTAAAAAACGGAACAAAAAGAAAGAAAGAAGCAAACAAATGAAAAAGAAATACAAGAATAGGGGTAGGAAAAATGATACAAGGCTAAACCTGCAGAAATAGACCATGCCAGTGCAAGGAGCAAGAGAGGTCATTGTTGCACTCCATTGTGCCACTCACCCACACTGCATTCGTTGTGGCAAATTCAAGGCCTCATTGTGTAGCAATAATCAAAATGAATAATGATAAACAATTATCTCTGACTCTCTCTTTCAAAGATTTCTTACTGCCTTTGAAGGAAGTGACTAAGACTCTATATCACGTATACGCAGTCTGCACTAAGAACATTCCTCATGCATTGACAATGGAAAGGCTGTACAAGAAGATACGTAGCAGATGTCTCAGAGTCCAAACTTTACCTTTATGTTTTCCAAGGTGGTATCTTGATTTAATTCCTTTCCTGCCTTCTGGCAATGTAGACATTGCTCAACCTAGTTTGGACGGAACAACATGACGACATGAACATTCTTGTATGAAAACATTATTGCAAGGGAACGGAGTTCACACTTTCACACCAACTGTATTAATATCATTCTTTGCACTGAACATTTCAAATCTGTATTTAAATTCTAAATCACCTATTTCAGGATTTTGTTTCATTACTTTACATACCCAGCCTGTGATGTCCTTTGTCATCCCTGGCCAATAGTATCTTGAGGTCAGCGCAATTCTCGTTTTGACTTTTCCTTCATGTCCACCCTGGGGACTGTCATGATACTGTTTAAAAAGTTGTAGGGCTTGATCCATGGTGTGAACAACGACCACCTTTCTCTCTTTGGCAGAATAGAAAAGCGTCCCCTCTGCAAATCAGAACAGATGGAGACGTGATGATGACATCAAGTGTTGAACTTAAGCAATTATCAGATATTTTCAAAGTCACAGATTCATTATAAGGCATATGCATAGAAAAGATATCTGTATGCATAGGGGTCACCTTAACGTGAGTACAAGGGGGGAATTTCACTATATGGTTACAGGTCTGTCACATCTTACGCACATTTAACATGCACGATTTCAACTTTACGCGGTTGGCAAAAAACAACAACAACAACAACAAAAAACCCAAACAAACAAAAAGAGAAAAATAACAATTTTAATACTATGCCTGTAGTGCGGGCGATTTCGCCCGCCATTGAACTCAATGGAATTTTGACTATACGCGGTTTTCGCTTTACGCGCTAACCGCGGAACGGAACCCCCGCGTAAGATGAGACAGACCTGTATAATTAAATGTTGAAATTTTTTTAAAAACTAGAAATCATTGCTCAGTGAACATATATGGATTGTTGTTGCTGGATACACTGGATAACAT